TAAGGGAAAGGGAAAGTCTAAGTCTGTTATTGTCCCATGTACCATTCCAGGAGAGTCTGTTTGTTTCTATTTCCAAGGAAAGGGACATTGGAAGTGGAGCTGCCCTCACTACCTGAGAGATCTAAGAGATGATATATTCAAATTGTATGGTTCTACTTCATCTAAGCTGATTATCTAACTCTATTAAGTTCCCATTTATTGATTCTTTTTACATGATGTAAAGTTACATTTTGATGTTTTGTAGGATCAAAGGAATCTTAAAGGAAAAGCATGTTGAGTCTGATCGCGAAGAAATGGATTTCGATCGCATGGTTTGATGATCAGATTTTTGAGCTGACCGTAGGAGTTATAATACATTGCTTAAAAATATTTAGTAACATACTTTTCATTTGAAATTGCATTGTAAGGAAAACTTTTTCCGCATGTTATAAATAAAGAATTTTTTTTGTAATTAATCTTGTTTTATATATCCTTTCAATGAAATTTGTGAAAATTGATGTTTGTATGTTTCTAATTTTAGAAATATAGATTTGATTCTTCCGTTTGTGGTGGTGTCAAAATTTACCAAATAAGGAAAGATTCTCATCACCCAAGTTTTAGTTAGACAGAAACTTGGAATCATGCAACTTGTATTGTGTGATGTATGAGAACCTTCATCTTTGGGAAATTAAGACTAATTCCTTGTTCACATGTATATGTGACTAAGTGAAGGACTAAGGGATCGGGTACACTTGGTTGTGCACTGGTCAGGTACACCACAAAGAATGATAAGACTATTCGTCATAATTTACTAAAATTTTAGTAAATATGACTTACATGATTAAGTGTAATTCTGAATCATTGAAAAAGTTTCAATGTATAGCAGAACGAATAAGAAGAATCAAATTAGGCGGAAAGATAAAAGTTTCTCTAATATGAAAAGAAGGGAGAGCACTTGTGTATCGTGTTTTATTACCATCTTAGTGATTACGGAACCATATCACAATTGATCCTCTAACGACACCTTAGTGCATTTGTATGGCTAAGAAGAGGAATCAAGAATTGTTGAAATGGTTAAATCAAGAAGATGAATCACACTTCAATCCAAGAACAAGTCTTAGAGTCATACTCCAAGTTGTACATTAAGTGTTACAATCATAAGAAAGGTTTATAACACTTATCAAATGTAGAGTAAAATGGTTCTTACTCTAGTACATTTGAAATTGTTAAGTTGTGATGTTTTGGTTAAAACAAAGATCAACTAAGACCGATTGCCAAAAAGTGTTTGCTTGATAAGAAACCGCACTAACTCTTGAATATTTTTTTTTTCAAGTAATGCTTATTGACAAAGAGAGTCTTATATGTCAAGAGGTCAATGGGAGTCTTAAAGATATTGAAAAGTTACAAGATTTAATCAAGAATTAACCTGTTATTAATCACTAGCAAAGGACTTAAGGTTTATACCCTATCGTATTCTTGTTTCTGTGCTCATTCCAGTTAAAGTTGACTATGAATGTTAGTTATATGAGTTCTTAATTTTTTTCATAGGGCAAAGCAACTTGGTCGGTGAAAGTTCATTGTTCACTAAGAGTGATCTGTTGAGCAACTTGGAAGACATGGTAGGCCCTTGAGCTTCCAGGTGGCAAGAAATTAACATTGTACAAGTTCATTCCATATGAGTTTGATTTTTTCACAGACCTTGTCTTATGACAATGGTTAGAAATGAAAGATTCACATGGATAGGAACATATACACCATAAAAATCTAAGTGCCATAAGGTTTCTCTACAATTCATGAAAATAATAGTGAGGAAACACTTTCACTAAGTAGATTTTGAGAAGATAACAATTGTGTTAATTGCATTCTCAAATTCGATTATGATTATGTCATCTCTCTTCATAGTTTGAATTGTGAGAAATGAAAAATAGTTTGAAGATTCTGAACTTATTGTTGTAAGTTCTGAATAGTTTAGACACACATACAAAATTTCTAATAAAAGGTGTATGAGCTTACATAAAAGCTTATCGAAGCACCTCGTATAAGAAATCTGAACTATGGTGAGAAAGTCAATAAGGTATTGATTTCTAGAGGTCCAAATTATTTATAGGTACATGTCAATGCTAGTGGGAGCATAAGCATTATGCTAGTATGATAATAATTATTATGCTAGTGGGAGCATAATTGTTATGGTAAGTATTGCGAGTTAGATATGTTAATTATAGAGAACAAAGGTTTCAATTCGCAAAGTTGCAGGGTTTGAAAAGTTGTTTTGCTATAATTAAAGGAGTAGAACTTATACTTCACCTCAATTCTAAAAGTTTAGATTCAAATTTTAGTCAAGGACATATATCAATTTTATCTTGAAAAGATTCGACATAACGGAATTATATATATGGAAATCTTATAGCAAGAGATTGGTAAAGTATTAGGTCTTTATGTAAGACATTATGAATCGTGTCCCATATGCTTTGGATATAGGATCGATTGCATGTGCTATAATATTCTTCTGTTCTAATTTTCCATATTAATAGGGCATTAAGAGGGAAAAACGACTAGAATCGAATATGACTAAAGTAATTAAACAACTATCAAGGACGATCTGAGGTTCGCTAAGGATTGGTTGCTTAAGGACAGTTGGAAGTATAGTAATGAATGGACCACATTGATGTGATTCTGAATAGACATGACTCTATTAAGAATGGATAATCATATGGCAATTATGGAAAAGTTTCCATAATGGGAGTTGGATATCAAGACTATATGATTAAGTTAGAAACTTTTATGCAAGAAGGATGTTCAAGGGAATGTGATTTGAAAAGAGACTTTGTATCTATGGAATTTTCATGTAATAATCTCCAATGGATGTTTTGTAATTAGAAAAGTCTTTGTGACTTGTGTACATAGTCATTACAAAAGAATAAATGGATATAAACTTAGAATCTAACAGATTAGAGTAAGTGGAAAGGACTTGGCATTCATAAACTTACGATAAGGATTTTGAATTGTGAAATGAGTGTCATTTGAAATGTTTACAATTGATCAAAACCTATAACATATTCTACCATAATCATAAAATTTACTATATTATATCAGCATCAAAAAAACTGTAAAAAACATTCCAATCACATAACATTATTAACAACAAACTTGAATTATATTAACAACATTATTACAAAAAATACATCAACACATACATTATTAACAACAACCTTCAATTATATTTAAAATATCTTCATAATTTAATACTAAATTTTATTCATAAACAACCCAACAAAAACTTATTATTAAACTACTTCCAATTCTACCTGAATTGATTTTCACAATGCACAACATCATCATCCCAGAATTTAAACAATGCATCAACACAACCTTTATATCAAAATTAATATTCCATTATAAGATATAAGCTTAAATACTGATAACAATACTTCATAACTTTTGAAAGACAAAGTACTTTTTCAAACATCTAACATAACGCAGAATCGTGTTTGAACAACCACAAAAAAAAAGTTCAGCTCATGTCATGTCAATATTTATCTTAAAAAAACCAAACTACCACTTCAAATTCTTACCTACAACCCTTTGCTTTTCTTTTTTTCTTCCTATTTTCAGCTGACTCTTGAAGAATCATATCTTGTTCCAAAATATCTAGCTTATGAAACGCTTCAAAATCTTTAACTATCATAGTCTTAAGCTTATTGAGCTCAGATGTCAACAATCTTGCCATGCATTTCGTCCTTAACTTAATTATAGCACTCACATCACCAGACATTTTACCTGTAAGACCACACTCCCAACACCCTTCATTTTCCCCCATGTAACTTTCCATATGCCTCATGAGGTATACTCCACATTATGTTCCAACTTTTTCTACTTGCCAAGATATGTTTATCACCCGTCCTACCTTAAAAGTTAAGGCTTTTTCCATTAGATGATGTTGTGATGTCAAGTAGTTGCAAAACAGTTTTTTCTATCATTAAATACAACAAATACATCAAACATAGTCTTATAAGATTCTTTAGAATGAAAACATAGTGATCAGAATTTTATTGATTATCTTACCACCATGTTTGGTATCATGCCATACTTTCTTTCCAAAGTTTATGTTCTCGTCACATGATCTACTATGTAGTATAAACTTGATCTCAGATCAAAGATGAGTAAGTAATACTTCCCATCATGAACTATTAGGAAGAAAACCTTGTACACATTAAAAAAAGTTAATTTAATATTAATTGATGCAACAAATATTACATTTACTAAACAAACTTACAAGCGCAACATCTCTAAAACTTGGCTTGACATCAAATTTCTTAGTGTAGATTCATAATAGAGTAGCAAAAAGCCTACATTTCAGATCTTCCGACTTTAGTTCATTTAATATATCTTCTATCTGTAAAAACCCACATCAACAACAATACTAATTCTACAAAAATAAATTTGAATTTAAAATTACTTTACAAACTAAATTAATATGAAAATAGTTTTATCGAAGAAAAATCTTGAAATCGATGATTCATCCTTGTAGTTCTCCATTTTATTTAAAAACGCAACCCAACAATAAATTCTTTAGAATGCAAAAATATTTCTTGATTGAATTGATATGCAAAACCCTGGTGTTGCAAATGACCTATTCCAATGTCCCAAATCTCATCCCTATGACAAAAATTATATAAAAATCAATCTAAATGCATTCAAATTTATATTCTAAGAATATAATAAGTGACTCATATATATACGAACCCATAATCTCTATTAGATGCAAAAACTGAATTGCATATCCCTGTTTCATCCTTAGTCATTTTTTTCCTAACCTTAAAAATTCTTTCAATATAGGGCGAATGAAATATTTTTGCCTTTTTAGGGATACGTTTTTTCCTTTTGTCATTATCATCATCTTCTACAGCATTATCAACAACTTCTCCTATATTTCTTCAAACCACATTATCCCGATTGATTCCTGACATTAGCTTTTTCCTTCTATACACCTGTAACTCAGTTTCATCCAACAATTTAATCATTTACTCATTCACCCCTAGAAGTCGATGAAACTGAGTCATTGTTAAAGAATTTGTATCAACAGTTCTACTATAATTGAATTCTTTTTCTACATTAACTTCAGTAACTATCAATCCTCTAACAGGTGAACTATTTCCTTCACCGACATCACCTACATCATTCATATTTAGCTCATTACAACACTCAGGCTCATGTATTTTTTTTTGTTACTTGCCCCTTCATGCACTTCTTTGAAAAGCTCATTCATTTTCTCCATCCACTAATTCAGCACCACACTATTAGGGCATTTTTCCAAACCATCCTTCAACACAATCCCCATAGTACTTTTCTCTATTAGAATTACCCCATAATTATGCTCTATAACAGCAGTGTATGTCTGCAATACATATAATTAATTATTAATTACATTATAAGAATATTTCACCAACTTTAATATGATAAATATATAGACAAATTAGTAGTATTCCAGAATATGTAATGTATATTTTACCAAAATATACATTCAAATATTAATTATAGTAATTACAAATTAAATAATTATCCAAAAAGAAACATAATATTACCTCCTCATCTTCAAAATCCCTCTTAAAGTTGAGCATTTGTTGTTCTTCGTCTCATGTTTCATCCCTCATATCGACATCATCATGCTCATCCCGAAATTGCCTCCCAAACCCTCCCAAACTGATTTCCAAGCATTAAATCTCTAATAAATTACCACCATTAATATGCAAAATAAAAGGAAGCATTTTATCTATCTCGATAGAATACTTCATGTTATACATGCACACCAACTGAAAAAAAAAAAAACATTAAATTAATCAATACATCAATAATAAATAAATACCAAATCTATATTTTCATATAACACTATTTCAAACGTACAATCAGGAGTGTAATAGGACTAGTAATAGCTTCATTTTTCATCCCTTTTCCATAGTTTTTTTTCTTGATCCCAAACAATCCAACATATATTTACACCAATTTAACTTTGAAAAGTCTTCTACAAACACCAACTTCCTTACCACTTTTATTTGATTTGTTCCCATCAACATTGACTCTATGAAGTTGGTAACAAAAAGGGTCAAAAAATAAAGCCTAAACATCAAACTATCCTTTGTTGTTGCCTGAATCCTTCTTAAATACTCCTCACCATTGAACTTATCACAACTATATTGTCCCCTCCATTCTTCCAGAATTTGATTTCCCTTATCACACAATGGCAACTCACTGATGTCTTCTCCACAAATTAGCAACCTCATCATATCATGCATTGTTTGTTCTGTTATCTCAATAAGATAGTTTTGTAGGACAAGTCTTTTACTATCGGCATCATACACATCTAAAAGATATTAGCTTACTTGGCTCGGATAACTTGTAATATTCACTTGAAGAATTGATCCAAAACCCATTCTCAAGATTGCTTGTTTTTGTTCTAGCGACATCCCCATAACAGCTGTAGTGATGTTATCATATTTCATTCTGGTTGGAAGGTATCTTAAACCAGGTGGATATTCCTCATTTGTTTTTCTAACATTATCTTCTTGTTCCTCTTTGACAGATTCATCAATTCCCTTATTCTTTAAATTTTTTACAATTGGAACTCTATTATATTTCCTCTTCGACCTTATCTCTTTCCAAAAGTAGTTCATTCAAAGGTTTAGGAATTTTCTTTCATTCAACTGATTTATCAAGCTTTTTCTTTGACCTTCTTTCTCGTTTCACATGTTGTTCTTCTGCCTATATTAATTTGTTCTGCTATACCACACAATAAATAGTATAATCTTTAGTACAAAATATTAGATATTAATGTTTTAAAATATAATATATTCCTTATAATCTAACAGAATAAAATTTTATTTAAATAACACAATCGTCATACACACAAAATTCTCATTCAAACATAATACAAAAAAAGACATTACAAAAATATATTAAAATAACTGCAATTCTAACCGAACATAAAATAAACTAAAAACACATCATAAATTTCATTTTGAAACATAACCCACTGCATATTGAAATACTTATATTCATACATATAATCGTATTCTACTAGAATATTCTACTAGAATCATATACATTTAAACTAGCATTCTACTAGAATCATCTACACCCTCTTTAAACTCTATCATATTATATTACATACAAATTAGAATTCTACCAGAATCATATACATTTAAATTCAAGACATATAATCCACTCTTTATATCGATATGCAAACTTATATACAACATTCTATTCTTCTAGAATTTTATACATGTAAATTTAATCTATATCCAAGAATTATGAATGTTTCAGTTTAAGTCATTAATCATCTAGAAACTTTGATTCCATTAAAATATAAATTTTTTAACTAATAAAACAACAAAATTAATTCTAGGAGAATAACAACCATCTTCAGGTTCATATGAAAACAACATTCGGGCAGAATAACATAGACAGTAATTTCATTGTATCATATTATTATAATTTTAGTGCATACTTTAATGAACAATAAACATAAAATATCACAAAAAATTGTTACCTTCATGTTCAGCAACGAAACCATTTCGTCATCTTCAAGATTCAAGGTCGTTTCTATTGTGTTCTTGAACTAACTTGAATGAATTGGATCATGTACTCCTCATTATTATAGAATACCGTTCACAGAAGCCCCCAAATGTCAATTCCGTATTATAGGGTTAATTGTCAATATTTATATGAAAAACCTTCAAAGGATCTTCCGATTTTGAATATTTATTACAAGAAATCAGAATGTTTTTCAACCTCCAAATGAATTGGGTTTTTGATATTCTGAGTATGCGAGATATTTGGGATTATCGGATGATCACTTCCATAGTTACCCACGGTTTCCTAATTAAATGACGACCCAATGTACCATTCTCCTCTTCTTTGACCGGTCAATTAATGAAAGCCTATTAATTTGATTTTTTTTTCTATTTAATTTAAAAAGAAATTCACTTTCTTAATTTACCACAAATGATTGGCCTAGAATCTTTTACACAAGGACACAATACTTAGCAAAAACAAAATAACCTAACCCTATATATATATATATATATATATATATATATATATATATATATATATATATATATATATATATATATATATATATATATATATATATATATATATAGGAAAAGTGAATATACCCTGAAGGGTATATAAGCTTAGGTACCCAAACCCACCATAATTAGTAGTTATGTTAGATATATTCATTATAATGTTCTTAAAATTAAACCCATAACTTGATTTACTTTGAAGATTTTCAAAATATCACTATTATCTCCCTTTTATATCATATCTTTTTGCCGAACACCTTCTAGGCTATATATATTATAGTTGAAAATGAAAAGTATGTAAGAGGAAGATAAATGGGAAATTTATAAAAATCTTAAAAGTAATCAAGTTATAAGTTGAATTATAAGAACAATTAGACAATTACAATTTAAATATTTAACACAAAACGATGTAGCATAGTGAGTTTGGGTACATAAGCTTATATACACTTAAGGGTATATTCACTTTTCCTATATATATATATATATATATATATATATATATATATATATATATATATATATATATATATATATATATATATATATATATATATATGACAAAATTGAAAAAATGGTCATTATGGTATGCAAATTTTTTGGGTTTTAGTCCAAACCTCAAATTTTTTTGGATTCATGGTCCTTTTGGAGTGGTTTATATGTGAAAATAGTCCCTCCAAAAATTGAAATGACTATAATACCCTTGAGGTATTTATTTTTCATTTTTCATTTTTCCTTATTTTTTTTAAATTTAATATTTATTTATTTATTTTAAGAATTACAAAAATAATATAGGGCCTCTCTGTCTCTCTCTCTCTCTTTCTCTTTCTCTCTCTCGTCTATTAGCATCGAATGTTATTTTAGCCACCGCCACCATTAGTGGCAACCACTCATCTACCACTGTCCGCCATAGCAAAAGTTAAACTTTCCAAAATCAAGAACATACACAAGCTTCATATAACTAAACTTTTGTTGAACATATACTACAACAGCAAGCAGAATTGTAGTTACAGGAATCCTAATATTCCCAAACTTTATATAAAAATGAAGATGTAAGTTCACAAACTCATAATCCTTAGAAAAATATGGGTTCAAGATTGGGATTCGAATGTAATCATAAACAGAAGACGAATCACCGTTAACTCGATAAAAACTCGGAGCTTTCGAAACCCAAAACTTGAAAACCCCTTCCTCATCGCCTCCACCGCCATCTCTCTTCTTATCCCCTTCTCTAACGGCTTATCCATTAACGCCACTACTCTTTCCATTGTTTCAACCTCTTTCTCTATCAAACCTTCTATGCATTTTCCCCCAACTGGAAAAAGCCAAAATCACATGCAAAAACCGACATCAAAACATAGAGAAGGGAGAAGGGAGATGCTGTGGCCGAAGTGAATGTCGGTAGGGCTGTAATTGGGTGACGGTTAAAGTTAAACTAAACAACACCGATTTAGGCTTTCTCCTCACATTTCTGGAAGAACACGATTTGGGTTTTTTTTACCCAATTCAAAACAGAAAGAAATGAGAAGTAAGATGTGGTGGTGGCCGACAATCTCTTAACAAGAGGTGTAAATGGTGGTGGATAAACTTCCAATAGCAGTTTTTGATTGCATTCTTGGCTCCCAATCTTTCCTTGAGCATTAAACAGTTAAGTAGTGGAGAATTTTTTTTTGGGCCTTTAGCAATTTTGTGAGAAGATGGTGGTCGCATGATGTTTTTGTGATGAACAGGAGGTGTAAATGGTTGGCTTCAAAGATGATGATTACTGATGTTGATTTTATGTTAGATGGAGATGGGTTCATATCCTCTTTAATATGTGCGTGTGAGTTGAGAGAGAGAGAGAAAGAGAGACCTTTATTTTTTTTAATTGTTAAAATAAATAAATAAATATTAAACTAAAAAAGAAAAGGAAAATAAAAAATAAATACCCCAAGGGTATTATGGTCATTTCAATTTTCGGAGGGACTATTTTCACATACAAACCACTCTAAAAGGACCATGAATCCAAAAAACTCGGGGTTTGGACTAAAACCCCAAAATTTTGCATACAGGGACCATTTTTGCAATTTTGCATATATATATATATATATATATATATATATATATATATATATATATATATATATATACATACAGAGAGAGAGAAAGAGAGTTAGGTTCATGTGAGACGACCTAATTTTGTGAGATCGTGAAACGCATTTTTTTATTTTTTTATTTTAATTTTTTTAGTTAATTCAAGTTCCGAAAATAACATTTAAAAAAAGAATTTTTTGACTTTTTTCATTTATTTTGCATTTTAAAATTATTTTTTAAAATATGTACAGTGTAATATTCTATTAGAATATTTCACGTGTTTTTCTAAAAAAAACGAGATTTTTTTTAGTTAACTCAAGTTCCGAAAATCATATTTAACAAAAGAAATTTTTATATTTTTCCATTTATTTTTTCTTTTTAAAATTATGTTTTAGAATATGTACAGTGTAATATTCTATTAGAATATTTCACGTATTTTTAAAAAAAATGGGATTTTATATATTTTATTTATTCTTTTTTTATTTTTTTTGTTAATTCAAGTTCCGAAAATAATATTTAAAAGAATTTTTGGATTTCTCCATTTGTTTTGCATTTTAAAATTATTTTTAGATTTGGTCTCACAGTCTCACAAAATTAGAATGATCTCAAATGAACCTGAACATATATATATATATATATATATATATATATATATATATATATATATATATATATATATACTGTTGAGTATATTTGTGTTGCGTCTTGGGCTAAGTATTTTGTATCCGGATTGGGCCTGTCCATCCGTGTCTATCTAGATTAGTTACGTAGTTATCTAGATTAATTGTTAGGGTTATAATATATATATATATATATATATATATATATATATATATTATATATATATATATATATATATATATATATATATATATATATATGCATGCATGTATGCGTATATTGAGAAGTTTTCATTACGTTGATTCTTGTAACCCTAAACGCCTTTAAAGATTGAAGTTCTTTATCGAGCTCTTCTGAGGTGTTATTGCATTAATCATTCGACATATTCAGCGCAATACTTGTGTTCTTATTACGTTCTTATTTTATATCTTGCTTAGAATCATACGATCCTAAAAGAACTTTGTTCTAACAATTCGTATTAGAGCAGGAGACTGTGTGATCAGTACACATTCCTTCTGTATACATAATTCTTTAGGGTTTTCGCTTTTATCGTATAAATAGAAGCCGTCGTCTTCATATCAACGATAACTCTATTTTTGATAAAACCCTAATCTCAAGTTTACAGGTTTGATTCTGATCAGCTCACCATGTCTCAAGAAGATTCACATACAAACCCAATTAACATCTCAAACAGCATCGGATCAACAACCAGAGTTCCCATACGCTATACTCAAGACTACGAAGTATGGGCTCATCACTTTGAAGATTATGTGGTTGGTTCGGAAGAGAATGGCTATCTCATATGGGAAGTTATCACTCTTGGACCGTTTGTACATTCGGAGACAAACACAACTGTTAAGACGCAAAAAGATTACAACAAGTTGGTGACAGAT